CACAATCTAGAATGAAATTAGATAATAAATATTCATGAACTTGAATGGTTTATTTTAAATACTTTAAATTAATAAATGTTATTTATACAGTACTCAGAAATTAAATAATAAATATTGTGAACTTGAATATATTATTATTTTTCTTTTTAACCGCTATAAGGCGTACTTGAATATCTTATTTTAAACATTTAGATTAATGAATGTTTTTTATACTTACATCCTAAATTAACACGAATAAAATGTGTGATTAAATAATAAAATTTTTATAACTTATTTAGACATAAATGTTCTTTATATTTACGAACTAATTAAATAGTAAACATCTATGAATTTAAATAGCATATTTTAGGTTAATAGATGTCTCTATATTCACTTTTTAAAATTAACGTGAAATATTCATGAATTTGTATAGTTATTTTTAAATACTTGGATTAATAAACTATCAGCTAAATTAACGCAATTAAATACTGAAATAGTAAATATTTATTAACTTGAATAGCTTATTTTAAGCAGTTCGATTAACAAATGATCTTTATAAATTAAAGCAAATGGAATAGTAAATATTCATGAGCTTGATTAGTTTTTTTATATTTTTTAGGTGAATAAATGTTTTTTACACTTACGAACTAAAATTACCACGAATAAAATGAATAAAATAACATTCAATATTTTTGTTTTTATTTTGATAACTATGCTATAACGATACGATAAATTTATTATCGTACAAAACTCACAATCTATGGAATTTGATTTAGTGTGATTAAACAAAATCGCGCATAATTTCACATCATTTATACTATATCAATGTCACATGTATTCGCTTTATGTTCTCAATAGGAATGCTATCAGCTTTATTCGGCTTGTATATTTGACTATTATAAAAACTGTTTAATAATAGAGTCGAACGAGCTGATAACATTGTATAACATGTTACAGTAAAGTACGAAATAAATTTAGAAAATGTTATTAAAACCTAAATAAATACGTTCGTCTTTAGTAAAAAAATTTATTGTTTTTTTATATGGGTCCAAAAAACATTATACTGGATAGTAGAGAACTGAATTTAAAAATAATTTCTATAGAGAGGGTGACAAGTTTATTGTAGATTTTGTCAATATTTAGTTTTTTATTTCAATATCCAGATATCTGTTGTAAATTACTCTGATACACTTTTAAAATTTTTATTAACGATAAATAACAGTCTTTGGTTTAGTTGAGCGCAGTATTTAAAACTGTTTTTAATTAATGATGATATAAATATAACGAATCAGTTTTTGTTTAGTTGAGCGCAGTATTAAAAAAATTAAAGTTTTTTTACGATAAAATTGCTTAAATCATCAATAGATCAACAAATTCTTATCGACTCTGTGTCACTGAATCTATGCTACTGTATCATCGTGATACGCATGCATATCATGTATAATAAAGTACTAATTACATATACATTAATAAGCGTGATGATAATTAATAATAGTAACGTTAAAGATTACCAACCGAGATTAATAATATATTATAAATAAAAGATTAAGGAAAAAAAAAAGTATAAATTTACTCATAAACGAAATATTTTCATTCATCAACAATAACAATTTCAACAAATACTTAAAAATCAACCTTAAAAAAAAATGAGTATAATTCGTATTGCTGGAATTTGTGGATCTCTTCGTAGAGATAGTTGTAATAAAAAATTACTTCTTCGAGCTCAACAATTATGTACTGAACATATCCCTGAAGCTCGGATTGATATCATTGATTGGAGTCAACTGCCCGTTTTTAATCAGGTAGCTTATACTAAATTATTAAAATAAGACTTTTCTTGTCTCTCGCAGTACAAGTGACCCTACACTACTGTATAATTGTTAAGGTCACCTATACTGTAAGAGATTCTTTTTCTTCCATTTTACACTAATGTTAAAATCAAATAGGATTTAGAAGAAGATCCGCCTAAATCTGTTCTTAAGTTTAAGGAAGAAATTTATAATTCTGATGCGATTCTTTTCGCTACGCCCGGTAAGAATAAATGCATTAAACAAAACAACTGAGAGTCTTCATCGACGATTACTTAACTGAAATATGTCACCAGCAATCAGCCGACAAGTTCATTTCGTCTATGGACAATTTATCAATTAATACATAACGCAAAATAATTTAGCGTCTTTTTAAAGTTAGCATAATCATTCATTTTAAGGTATAATAATGTAGAAATCCATTGCCAATGAAATGAGCTTGTCAGTCAACTGGTTATTGGTCAACGAAGTGATATTTGTAAAGTGATATGTATCCAATAATAATTCAATCGAACGACGAAAACTAACTTTTAATATTATTATAAATTATAGAATACAATTGGAGTATTCCAGGTAAACAAATTATTCAAAATTTCCGAGATTAATATTTCGAATAGCTTTGTACGTGCATGATTACTTTCACTTTATTCATCTTTTATTTTATGCCATTATTTACATAACTTTAAGGTCCTTTAAAAAACGCAATTGATTGGGCAAGTAGAACAAAAATTGGTGATCGTGGTGATGTTTTCGCCGGAAAACCTGTCGCGATAATTGGTGCAGGTCCTGGATCTTATCCAGGTGCTTCGGGATCTGGCCGTGCTCAATTGATATTAAGACAAACTTTAGTTGTCTTGAACATGGTAGCCGTTAACACGTAAGTTTGCTTAAATAATAATAATATTTTTGAAAGACTTTTTCTAATTAAATAATGTTTTCTTTTTAATGATAGACCATCTGTAATGTTAACTGGGGCTTTTGATGCATTTAAAGAGGATGGAAGTTTGAAAAATGGAGTAATAGAAGAAAAGCTTGTAAAATTATTAAAGGAACTTGTAATTTTAAACAAACGTTTAAAAAGTAGTATTTAATGTTATTTTCGAATATTAAAATATAAAATAATTTAATAAAATAATTTTATAGCTCAAATTGTTAAATCTGTTTATGGTTATTAAAAATTTATGACACTCTAAATATTAAGAATTAACTTAGCCAACTTTTAAAATAAAAGTTATATTTTAACACGATTATACGTATCAAATATCAAAATATGAAAATATAAAAATAACAATACAGTAATATAATAAAAAAAATATACTAACACCGATAATGACAGTAACCGAGTTAAGGTTAGGTTTAATTTAAGGCTAGAGTAAAACTTAAGTATATATATAGCAATTGTCTTAAAAAAATTTTTTGTCAGAGCACTAAAAGTAGTTTCATACATATAAATATTTTTTGTCAGAGCACTAAAAGTAGTTTCATACATATAAATTCGAGTCATTACAAAATTTTAAAAATAAAATTTTTGAATAAGACTCTAGACGAGGTTCTAACAAAAAAAAAAAAAAAAAAAAATTTTGCAAAATTTCAGCATAACTATAAATCTTCCCAACTCTAACCTTAAACCGAGTTTAATTTTTAGTTTATAATTTATACTTATACCGATTAAAATGTAACATACGTACGTAGTTTTAAAATTTATATTGATTAATATGTAACGTACGTACTGTACGTACGTATGTCAAGTTTAATCTAAGAGTTTAATAAATTAGATTATTATAAAAAAAAATAAAAATAAAAATAAAATAATACATTCTTTGTTATTTTATCTTCCATAATATGGCTTCAAATTTTTCGTTAGTTTTTTTCGTTTCTTTCATTTCAAAGCTTCAAAAAATCGTTGATGACTACATGAACAATAGAAAAAACGAAAGACATATAATGAATCGTTCAAAGTATTAATTAAAGTTGGAATTATCGATGAACTGAATGTTAAATTTGATAAACATAATTGTGGTATCAAATTTGTCCGATTGAAGGCAAGACAAAACTTGGTTAAAAGTAAAAATGAATAGACGAGAATTGCAACTTATATCAAGCCACTTCAAAATATTATAAATGAAAAATCTAACCAAGAAACTGAACAAGGTTTAAAGAAAATGTTGGCTGTCATTGTAATAAACCAAATTGTGAAAAATAGGTGTTGTTCTTGTCGTAAGAACAATGCTCTTTGTACTTTTCGTTGTAGTTGTATTCGCCGAGGTACATGCAAAAATCATTAATTTTTATTGCAATATAGCGCTTAGCAGTTGTTTAATCTTCAATATGGATTTTAACAATCGTAATGGAGGTTAAATACAATAATTAATAAAAATAATTTGATTTGCGTTGCGAATATATTTTTTTTTAATCAATAAAATCACACTGATACCGATTAAAATATGAAGTACTTTAATTTACAATTTCGAAGCTACGTACTTCAATTTTTAATTGCGAAAATTTGAATGTGACGTCTAACATATACAGTATGTCGTACGTACGTCGAAATGGAATTATTGTAGATTTAGAATCCACCTAGGTTGATTCTGATTGTAATAGAATTCTAAAATGTGCTCGAGTTTG